ACCTTCTGAATCAGGACGACATGCGGCTCCCATTGCTGTGGTACAGACACACCAGCTGAAAACAAACTCTGCACCCTACCAGGAAGCCAGCAATGCAGCTGGCCTCTCACCTGAAGGACCCAGTGGGCTGCCTGGCTTCACTGCTCCCTGGAAGAAAATAACTCCTACCTCACAAGTGTGCACTCTCAATTTCTTCCAGAACTAAGATGACAATTAGTAAGCCTTCCTTTGTGCTTCCCATTTTCCCACAAAAGGTCTCCAAGTGATTCTTTTATGTGTTTCATACCTCAGGAAAACCACTTGAAACACAGTTTGTAGTGTGAGTGACATCTCTCTATGCACACTTCTGGTTCCTTCCTCAACCAGGTTCCTGAAATTAAAGATCCCTTCTATGCCATATGTAAAGGATCTACTGATTTTTATGAGAGACTATAATTGAGGAGTTCAGCTGCAGTTACACTGATTATTTTCCATTGGAACATATTTAAAACATGAACTTAGAATCATTTATACACCCTTAAAACAAAACACTCAGGGCCAGCAAGAGAGCTCAGTGGACTAAGCGCCTGCTTAGGCAAGTGCTGGACCAGGGTTCAATCTCCAGCACCACATGCTGTGCTGGGCCCATCCTGGGGCGCACTGAGCTGGCCACCAAGACTAGGCATGGTGGCACACGCCTGTAATCCCAGCTCTGAAGAGGCTGAAACAAGAGGACCACTATGAGTCCCAGCTGCATAGTTAGACCCTCATGTCATTTTACCTTCCCACAAAAACCCTACAGACCAGTCAGTCACTGTAAAAGTGAGGAAACAGCCAGGCACAGGGGCACACACCTGTAATCCCAGCACTCTGGAAAGCTGAGGCAGGAGGATCACAAGTCTGGGCCTAGCCTGGGTGACTTAGTGAGACCTATCTCAAAATCTTAAAAAGGCTAGTACTGTAGGTCAGTGTGAAGGCCCTGGGTTCAATCCTCAGTGCCCTATTAACACACGTGCAAATGTGCACACACACACATGCACACACCATATGACAGATACGCAGCACAGTGAGGGAAAGGGAAAGGGGTGGTTGTGAAGTAGAGGAAGAGGGTCCCAGAGTGGAAACACCCAGGATGAACAGGGTGGACACGTCATGCTCACCCATGGAGGGCCCACACAGTGCTGGCGAGATCCAAGCAGACTCCTGGCTGCTCCCAGCCACAACTTCCTGTTCTAGCTTAGGCATACAAGATGCAACCCTGAAGAAAGTAGGGCTAAGCATTCACTCACTCCACTGACTTCTCTACAGTATTTCTCACAACTGTACCCGAATCTATAACTATTCACATGCAGTCTTTATAGAGATAGTCCCAGCTTTTTAGATTTTACTTTAAGTGGATACAGAGGTCTGTTGCTAACATCCAAGGCTTGTTTTCATTTAGAGGAACAGCAAAACCAATACTTGAGGCACAAGAATCACAAAATCTGCTTTAAAACTCGATGTTTGATTAAGAAAAAAAAGTACTTACAATAAATGTCCTAAATCAGAATTCAGAATGAAAAGACATGGCTGAGGGAGCTGGGGTGATAGCTCAGTAGAATAAACGCTTGCCTGGCAAGCACAGGGTCCTGAGTTTAATCAGGTACCAAAAAGAAAAAACCAAAAAAAAGACATGGGCTGACCATTAAGCCGACTCCAAAAAGAAAGCCCCCAAAATTCCAATACTTGCAGCTCAAAATCATTTTATATTAAAATCACGTTACTCTTACTCTATTGCTCTATTGATTATATTCTTCTATTAATTCAGAAATGATGTGTAGCATTTCTTGCATTAAAGTCTCTGAGACAGCAAAGCCACCAAAGTCAGAGACTTCGGCTGACACTCCAGCCTCCTCCTGTAAAACAGCGGATCACAGTCCCAAGCCCTGGGCATGTCAGTCAGGGAACAGGAGATCCAAGCGCACATATTTACTTTCCCTTTCTGACTAGGAACACACTTAAAACATGAACTTGGGCCCTTAGACAGGAGTCACCTCATGTTCTGCTTCTTGGCTCTGCTTCCTGTAGCTGCAGAGCCTGCCACCCTCTCTTCCTTTGGACCCACTAAAACCATTGCCTAAATACTCAAGAGACCCAACTGCTAAGGACCAACCTGGCTCAGCTGCCCCTGAAGATGGTAAAGAGGTCAGGATCATGGTACAGACAACAGAACGGTCTCTACAAGGCCTACTCCCTCCTTCCCAACTGTGCTATGCTGCATACCAGCTCTGAGGACAGCTGTGTCCAGGGCTCCACCCTGGTTCATCCCGCTGATGAATATTTAACTTAAACCCCTGTGTACACACACACATCCGGAAAGGAAAGGACACGTATTGACCAAGGCAACCAGACTGGGTTGCGGGCAGGTAAGTTCCTGGAGTAGGGGTGGATGTGGCAGGAACACGATTAATACGTCTGATGTCTGTATAGTTATTTAGTTTCCCCTGATAAATGGGGAAATAGGGGCCAGGGTGATGGCTCAGTGGAATAAGCACTTCCCTGGCAAGCGCAAGGGCCTGAGCTCAATCCCCGGTTCCGCAAAAAAAAAAAAAAAAAAGAAGAAGAAGAAAGGGGGGGAATAGGATTCTCTGAGCCAGGTTGGTCCTTAGCAGTTTGGTCTCTTGAGTATTTAGG